GATTGCAACCTTTCGGAACCAGTTTCTCTTGCCTATAAATACATTGATTCTTCAGATTTTTTCCTTACGAATTTTTCTGATTTCTTCTTCTTCTTCTGCACAAAGTTTCTTCGTGTACTTTACTGCTGTTGACTGGTTTGCTGACACCAGAATTTTGGGTATCAATACACTGGTGATTGAGATCATTCTATCCTGGGAGGACATATTCCAAATCAATCCTCGGATACTAGAGGGAAATAATTTCCTTAAGGGGACACTGTGCATTCAGTGGGCTTGATCTTTTTCGTTCTGTCTTTTTCCAGATTCTGGTATGTTTTACAGATTTTAGTTGTTCTGAATTAGTTTATGTTCTTCTATTCTTACTGGTTCATTAAAACATTGGTTACTTCGTGTTACTGCAAAGTTTATTGGAATCAGTAATTCTGTTTTAAACACAGATTGGCAACATGTTTAGCTTAATCCGTAAAAATTTTAATTTGTCCCGCTCCGTTTCGTATAATATTTTTTTTCATTTTCAACCCACCCCGCATAAATCTGTCCGCATGAACCCGTCCCACATAATTTTTTTTAATATTTTCTTTTTCTAGTTAAGTTTGATAGTAAAAATAAAATTCATAAAAATAAATTCATTTTTTATTTAGTTTTATTAATTTAATAGAGAATGACTTAAAAAAATATATCAATTTGGAAACATGTAACAAATTGTATTATTTTTTATTGAACCATTTTCATTTACTATTTTGAATACTTTCGTATCTTTAAACAAATTATATTACTAAATAATGATCTATCACTCTTAAAACATGTAAAAAGTTAAAATTAAATTTGAACTCATATAAAATCATATATACCTGCAACCAGCCCCACCCCTCATTAGTTTTGAAAAAAACTCATTTCAATCCGCCCCACATCCCTCCCGCCTTGCAGAGCCTTAAACTCATCCTGTCCCGCATAGCCTTAAACCTACCCACCCGCATCTGCCCCGGATTGCTATCCCTACCCATAGACTTAGTGCTTAATAAATCAACAAATAGATATTTGGTCAATGAATTTTGATGTCTAAATTTCAAGAGATTTTTCTATTCAAATACTAAAGGGTTACGTTGAATTATTTTTTCCCCCAAATTGAACATGTTCGACATTCTGCAATTTGAATACATTAGGCAAGTAATTAATAATTCACACTTCTATGAAATTTTGTGACTCCAAAAGAAGATTAAGGCTAATAATATCTCCAATACTTAACAAAAATGTATAAACATTCCTTAATACCTAATTATATATATGCATAACATGATTGGTATACTTTATTACTAGAAATTAGATAAGGAAAAAAAATAAAGAGACTTAATATCATATATAGGGTGTATATTTTTTTGGACATACGTGTCGTATCTTAATCTATATTACTCCTAGTAGATCATTTGAATTTTGGGAAATCGCCCAAGCCAAAAAGGTCTAAATATGCTATTGGACTATGTGTGCTATTTGTCAATAATTGAGGAAAAATATGTTTCTATGTTATAAATTGATCCAAATATATCCTTGTTCACTAAGGAAGGAAGCTTTCCAACACACCATCTTTTTCAATTAGAGAAAACACTTAAATTTGACATTAAGCAAGCTTTGTGGAATAGTCTAAAATATTTGCTCCTCAACATAGAGAAATTATGCATTTCTTTTCCCAACTACCATCTAGCATTGCTCTAAATGAATAACCACTATAACAAATGAATTTTTCTGCTCTAAGGAAATGCCACTTGAAAACCACAGTTACTATAACACCCCTTCACTTCAACGACACATAAATATTCTACACAAAATTCTCACACCTTCATCTTTACTTTAAAAAATAATAATCATATGTCACCATTCAACCTCTATTGTATGACCGACAATCTTCATCAATCAGTATCATTCAATCTTGATCGTCATAATATTACTGCATAAAAAATAGAGTAGTAGCTAAACACTATATATTTATTTTTATTTTTAAAAATTAAAGTATTAGGAGTTGATGTGGAGCTTTGGCATCACTACTGTTGGCTCGAGAAGGATTAGTGGTAAAATTGTGTTGATTGAGTTTTCCCCTATGAAAGAAGCGACAGAATATATATATAGTACGTATATAGGTGGTATAAGATTCTAGTAATTGATGGCTAACAAACACAAAGCTTTGGCATCACATGCTGTAAAACTTGGCTATATCTATATTATTTTTTTTAAAGTGCATATGTTTAATATGCAAATATATTTGGAATGACAGGTTTGGTGAAAAAACAACCTGTCAATAACTCTATTATGTGGAAAGCGACCAAAACCATACCAATATAATAAAATAATAATAATACATAAGACATATGGTTTGCATCTTTACTTGTCCCAACAGCAAATTAAATACATCACCCCAAGCAGTGATATATGCATGAAGATCTAATTATTAGGGGAAAACTAAAAAAAAAACTGGTATTTTATATATTACAATTTTGTGAGCTTATATATCCACAGTAGAGTTACAAAATTCACAAGGAATGACGTAATCTTGAGTTTCACATATGAAAGTTGAAATTTCAAATTTCAAAATATATAGTGATTGATTTCTTTAATTTAAAGATAAGATCAAAAAATAATCAGTAAACACTACTTTATGAAATCGATTCTTGCTATTAAACCACTCGCAGTGGTAAGTCTTTTGGGCATATATCTTGAACAGCTTTCCTAAAATTATGAAAGGCACATAAAACTGATTTAAAATTTCCAATCTGATTTTGGAACATATATATTCCAGAAATCAAGCTTGATTTGACTCTTGTTTTCCTTAAATAACCATATATAATTATCACACTCACGTGACATTGTGGGAACTGCAATTTAGGACCACATAAAAATCAATAATTCAATACACAATTGAGCATACAATTTATGTCACAATTCATTAAACAATTGAGGACCAATATATAAACATAAGGATTAAATACAGATCGATGCGTCAAGTTATTTTTAAACAGGAGACGTCGGTTGAGATATTTTAAAGATTTGAGTTTGTCACTTAGGCTACTTAATTGACATATAAATAATTACTAATTAATCAGCATAAACATAAAGTTAGTTCAATGAACCTATATATATAGACTATATCATAAATTTATCCACGTATGTCATTATGAGAGTCAAGGTCAACACACACGCTGCAAAATGGTAGGGATTATTGGTACACGATGTAGTCAAAGTCAAAGTCAAAGTCATACAAAAATCTAAGACCCACCTTACATTTTAGGCCCTGCTTTATTGGCACTAAATACAGATGAATACAACCATTTTAATAAGGTAAAAAGGTTTGTATATTCCTTAATTTTGCAATTTAGAATAGAAGTTGAA